ATTGTTTCAATCGACTGCAGTGTTTCTCTTCAAACACCAACTGCATTCTTCTCATTTTATTGTCCTTTTTATAAACCCATCACTATCACAAAATGAAATTCCACTCAATTTTGAAAGTGAGCTTCAAAAAAAGGTTCTGATGAAAGATTTCAACCAGAAAAAGTCTCGATCTTCAATGAGCACATAAGAGTGGACGGTTTCTCAGAGGTGAAGATTCATTAGTGTTACAGTACGGTAAGGAGAGTATTGTTGTTCTATTATAACAGTTTGTTTGGCCGATGAGGCAGGTGGTGCACGTGTGTTGACAGAATGCACAATGTGCGCTGAAGTCGTAAACTGGTTTTCGAATGATGTTCTGTTTATATACATGTCTACACACAGATGAATACAGATGCATTTGGCAGATTCAATGAAGGTACGTTTTTGTATTGTATGTGAGTGGATGATGCATTGCTACCTTCGACACTTTTTCGAATTCATAAAATACAATTGAATGGCATCAATTATTGTGCTACAAGTAATGTGCAACAAAATGTTTTTGCACCTTAATGAAATCAACTTCAAAACTTCCGAATGAAATGTGGCTAATTGATCAGTAAGGTGAATTGCTATTAATAAGAATTACTGATTTCTTCAGATTCTATTATTACTACTCTAATGGATACGTTGAAATACTTGCTATCGATTGTGAAACGGTGATAAGCTTAATGGAAAAAACAATTTGAGATGAGGGCATTAAGTAACCTGGAGAAATTGCTTTCAACTACGGGTAATATAATGAGAACGAAGTGGGGTACAATGTTGAGCAGTTTAGTCTGTCCAAAAACATATTTTTGTTGTTTCATGAAGAAAGCAATTTGGGATTCGCTTTTGATGATGTTGCGTTTGTATTGCTTTTTAGATTCAGTATGGCGGTAGCAAATGAAAGCAAGTGGAGCACGCAAGCAAGTGTGTGCCATCGATCCCCGAGGGCCATCACGAAACGAATTTGGTCGGATACGGTAGTGATGCGTCGATAGCCTCTCTCAAGCTGATGAGGTACATCGAATTGCGATGTACTCACTCTTACCAATAAATTTTACCTACTCTCTTCTTAATCAAATACACACGCAAACATTCACTGCGAGTGATCAACCATCGTATGTGCATATATATATATCATGAAACGGATCTTACTCCAGCAACAACACCATCTTAATTCTCATACTGTAACGTCAAACACTCTCACTGAAATCTTATCCAGATAGATTACAATCTTTGAAAATATTTAACTACTCTGAAGAGAAGATATCATCGAATACACTTAGTATGCACTGATCTTCATTTAGGAATCGTGTACCACTTTGTGCACCCTCCATTCCCAAACAAAAAGTATGCATGCAAACATGGATGACTCAAAACTGTTTGTAGCACTGTCGAACATTTCTTTCGAAAAGAAACACTGAGTGAGGAAATATATTTTGGGGAAATGCCCATTCAATTTCTCGAAGAGTTTCGCTATGAACTGCAAAAATTATTGCTGATGGAAAAAATGCACTGCACGACGGCAATATGATTCAGTATTGGCAAATGAGTGGCAATCAAATGGATGATTTCATTAGATCATTTAAGTCTTTCATATTACTTACTCAAACGAATTCAGCGCTTCCGGTTTTATTCGTGAGTCTTTTTGTGGGTAAAATTGAACGACTAAGGTGATTAGCGGCTCATCAAAAGGAAGTTTTAATTGAATCACCCACAAATGCACATACAAACAGTTAGTTCGGTAATGTTCCAGATAATAGATTTATCATATACTTATATCCTCGCTTCGCATATATCTTTCTGCATAGATGAACATCACTAACCGCACATATGCAAATCGTTTTCAGCATTTAATAGTTCGCTAACACATGTTTATGGAATGCACTAATTTCTTTGTGCAAACTTTAATTCTTGCAAATAAGTTACGTTCGGTGAATGATCTACTTTCTGATGTACTGCAGAATGGCTGCACATGGTGTCGCGAAGAAAATTATCTTGTGTCTTTAAAGGCTTACGAATGATTGCCGTCGCATCACAAGCACTCACTTATGATCAGTTGTAAAATGCAGTCAAAACGAAACGGAAAACAAATTGTGATTATAAATCTGAAATTATGTTCCTATAAACACGCTCATAAATGTGCCATAATTCTCGTTTATTAACTGTCATTAATGCGTTATTTATTGTTTATGCA